ATATGGTATTTGTTATGAAAAAAAAAGTCAATTAATTTATCTAATTGATACATTTGCAAAGGCAGTTTATGTATTTAGAAAACATGATATGGGTCTAGTACATAAATGGGAATTGACTCAGTATTTATCTTCCAAAACATTATATGGCATTTCATTGAATCCAAGGAAGGGAGAATTATTTTTACCTGTTTCTGACCATTCAGTTATAATTATGGAGTAAACATTGATTTAATATTAGATTGGAATAAATTATTATTATTATTATTATTAAACAATTAACAATTATTTTTTATTATTATTATTATTAAATTAATAATATGGTTCTGAATCTCTTTCAGATTTAACAATTTCATTAACAATTTTTCTATTAAAAATTCTTTCTAAATATTTACCTAAAAATGGTAAATCTCTAGCCTTTAAATTCATATTTCTAGTCCAAGTAGCAACAACAAATAAATAAATATCAATAATACTATATTCATTATTACCTAAAATATATTCTCTACCATCTTTTAATTCATTTTCAAATATTTTAAATTTTTCAAACATTCTTTCTTCTGTTTCCTTTTTAAGTAATTCTTCTTGTTCAATAGATTTAACATAACGATGTGAATAATAATAATGATATGAATCATTTTGTAATGAATTACAAATTAAAGACATCCATTGATGAAATTTTGCTCTTTTTTGTAAATTATTTCTATTTGGTTCTAATTTTCCATTTATAAATAATTCACTTAAAAAGTAACAAATAGCTAATGTTTCATATATTACTATAATAGTAGGTTCATTATTATTATCATTTATATTATTATTATTATTATTAATATATTCAATTACTAAAGTAGGTACAATTCCTTGTGGATTTAATTTTAAATATTTTTCAGATTTTAAATCCTTGACATCTCTTGATAAATTAATAATTTCAACTTGATGAATATTTTGAGTATTTGTATTATTTAATAATTCACCTAAAATAATACGTGGTATCATACCAGCTGTTGATGGTATACTATATATAGTAAATTTTAATGGTTGATTAATATCAATGGAAGAGTGG